TACTACATCATCTTCAATTTCTCCTAGCTCTGCAGTCTTTGACAACGACCTGAGTTCATAGAACAGCATTCTTGGTCTCCTTAAACCACGCTCCAAATTACATATTGGAGCCTTCAATGTCCGCACCCTCCGTCAAATTGGTCAACAGGCTTCGTTGGCAAAGACTCTAGCAACTCGGGGCATGGATGTGTGCTGTGTTTGTGAGACACATATACAAGACCCAAGTGCGCTTATTCACCTAACATCTCCCGACCGATCTGGTGAATCCGCAAAATTCACCCTCCGAGTTTCTGAAGATCCGATAGCTAGCTCTCGCGGTCTTGCAGGTGTAGGGATAGCATTAAGCACTAGGGCAGAAAACTCACTCTTCGTAATTTCTGTTTACGCACCCACTGACTGCAGTTTAGATGGAGTGAAGGACGAGTTCTACCGAAAAATTCTAGCCTCCTTTCGAAAGCCAAGCGTTCTGACGTGGTTTTTGTTGCAGGTGACTTCGATGCACAAGACAAAGTGAGGCAGAAAGGCACTTAGGTAGCAATTTAGGATTCCCAGCTGAACGAACACATAACAGTGATCGCCTACCACAACTGTGCTCAGATAACCATTTATTTCTAGCTAGAACAAACTTCAGACACAGATGTGGCTCCCACCGAGCTCAACTCAGTGATGGACACAGAAAGAACACATTGCTATCAGCCACCGCTGGGAAGGATCGGTTGAAGACTACCGCTCCTTCTGGAGTACATGTTTAGATAGCGACCACACGTTGGTCCGACCGCATATATGACTGCATCTCAATGGACGTAGGAAAAATTTGGCAATAAAAACATTACGAGTGCAGATCGACAACGAAAACACCAAAGCCAGGTAGTGGGATATCTCACCAGTCGGTTCCAGAGATGATGCAAGTTGGCAAATGCCAAACGGGACTTCATTATTCGAACTGAAATTTCATCAGCAACCAGCTTGTCAGGCTGATGCAACTCACCAAATGAAGTGGTCGACACATTCCACCACTTCACTCCGTATCCTTAAACTGGGAATAGTTGCAGACCAGTCCTGGAGCATCATCTTACGTTTCGTAGGTGCAACTGGAATGCACGCCAGCCAAACACACGCAGATTTCTGGTCAACGCGTTCAGAAGACTCTGGATTTTGCCAATATTTTCACCTAGCAGGACAAAATCGTCTCTATACTTCAAGTCAATCAGATGACTTCTTGGGAGTAGATCAATCCGTGAAAAGTCAGACGTACCTGAGGTTTGTCTGTTCGTGCGTCTATGACGAAGTTAAGTAGGAACGATGAGAGTAAGCTTCCGTGACGGATACCACTAGTTGTCGTCAATTCTGATGATGATTTTCTATCCACCCTGAAACGTCTGTGTGAGTTCGAGTGGAGAACTGTGATTAGCGTTATAGACATGCTCGATACTCCTTTCTTAGTCAGATATTGTCACAACACCTCGCTGTCGATAGAGTCGAATACCGTCTTCAGGCCAGAAAATATGTCAGATGTCGGTCGCTGGTATGTATGCCTGTGCTCGAAGGATGAAAGTGATCATGCACCCTCATCCAGGTTTGAAATCTGTCTCATTTTCTCGAGCTCCATTTAGGCGTCTGATAACTATGAACCGACTGATTGTCCTGTAGTGTTCACAAAACTTCTCCGTTTTCTTGTAGACTGGTATGATCAGTGAAGTAAATCAGTCTGACGGGACTACCTCTGATTCCCATACACTAACTAGTACCTCTTTTTCTCTAAGCATCATCATCAAAATCAACATTACACCAGACATTACTGAATAACGGTTCAAGTTACCACACCTCATATCAGCACATCACGTTACTAGGTAATAAAATTGAAGATAAAGAAGGAAAGAAAGATCGGTCAAAAGAAGTAGGAAGTACTAAATGAGAGGAAGGAAGAATGAGATGGTGAGATTGAGTCTTGTGGTTAAAGTGAGAATAATGTATATGCATCTTCGCCACTGAGATAGGTTCTGAGCCATATCACCTAAAGTTAATAACTTCTCGTTTGTCTTGTCCCAAGGAACTCCTTCTCAAACACATGAAGCCTTCTCATGTCTTCTTCCTTTAAAGGCCATCTTTCACAGCTATACAGTAGAGAATAATTGACTGAAGCGCAGTAGACTCAACCCTTAATACAGAATCGGATATCACCGTGGCACCACAGATGATGAAGGCCAATCGAGCCTTTTGGATTCGTGCAGAGAATTCATCAGCCACTAACCCACTAGGGCTGATCTGACTTCCCAAGTAAGTGAAGTGTTCAACGCACCCAACCATATGGGAATCAAATACGATCCCCTCTCACTGGTCTAAATCCTCTTGTGATAACTACAGAGGAATCAGCCTGACGAACATAGTATCCGAAATCCTAGGGTCTATAATTCTTCGACGTCTGAGTGGAGCTTGGGAACAGCAAGTCCCAGAAAACCAGGCAGGCTTTAGATCCGGCCGTAAATATATCGATCAAATCTTCACACTGCGCCAGATCCTGGAACATAGGAACGCTTACAGATGCCCGCTGTATTTCTCGACATGAAGGCGGCATTCGACCCCGTTAATCGAGAAGTCTTATGGCAATGTCTCTCACTGAAAGGCGTGCAGAGTAAGTACATCACCTTATCGAAGGCTCTTTACTCGAACACTTTTAGACGTGATAGGGCCTATGGCCAGTTGTCCAGGGAGCTACGCTCATCGAGTGATGTCCGTCAAAGGTGCCCACTCTCTCCATTCTTATTCAATTTTATCATAGATATTCTCATGGAGGTCTCCTTCTCGTCACCTGATTACACAAAGGTTGACCTAATCACAGGAGAATTTTCGTTAGACCTAGAATATGCAGATGACATTGTCCTGTTAGGTGAAGACGCTGACAACATGCAGAGTCTTCTGAACACTTGGAGTGGCAATTTGAGAATGCTTGGGATGCATTTCTCACCACCCAAATGCAAACTGTTGCTCCAGGATGGGTCTTCAACGGTGCCACGGATAACAATAGAGTGTAATGGTTGAGTGTGTCAACCACTTCACTTACTTGGGAAGTAGGATCAGCCCTGATGGCTCAGTGACCGGTGAAATCTCTGCACATATACAAAAGGCTCAGTTGGCTATCACCAACTTACGCCATCTGTGACGCCGCCGTGATATCCGATTGTCTATTAAGGGTCACATGTACTGCACAGCAATCCGGTCTGTTCTACTGTATGGCTGTGAAACATGGCCATTGAAGGTGGAAGACATGAGAAAGCTTCAGGTGTTTGACCACCGTTGCCTTCGCAGTATAGGCCGTGTTCCATAGTGTCACCACGTGAGTAATGCAGAAGTCAGGAGTAGAATTTTAGGGAGAAGAGGCAAATCAGTTGACGAAGTTATGAACCTTCATCGACTGAGATGGTTGGGACACGTGTTACGTATGTCTAGTAGCCGATTGCCTCGTCACACAATGTTGGCCGAAAGAGGCCCGAGGTGGCCAGACTAAAACATGGCACCAATGTATGAAGTCTCTGACTGTTGGTTTCAGCCATGTGGGGCGGTGTAAACTAGCCGGTTGGGGTCCACGGGACAAGAGGAACCAGTGGTTGGAGACTTTAGGCGACAAGGGTCAGAACCGATGTCAGTGGCGCAGATGTATACACACATTATCCTCATCTTAACGACGCTATACAGAATCGTACCATTTTGTCATTCTTTCTTTCTTTCTTCTCGTACTTTATGTTTCTTTTGGCTGAATTTTATATTTATCTTGCACTTCACTGCCTTTTTACTTGATGTACCGATATGAGGTGTGGTGACTCGGACCGTTACGCAGTAATGCCTAGTCCTATGTTGATAATGATGATGATGATTATACATCAGTTCTATGTATTGATTCGAAAATCATGTTTTAAATATATATGTACACGTTCACAGTATGTGACGGCAGTAGAGACATATCTAATATTTAACGAATATTTCACAATAAATACCTTTTATTGTGTTTAGTTCATTTTTGTTTATGATTCAAAGTAACTATGATGTCTAATTTCAGGTGACCAGAAGAATTTCTCCACTTTTTCTACTTTGAAATCGATGTTTCAAATTGTAAACTTATTTGACTACTAGTTCACTATGTTATTCACTTGAAAAATTGAAAAGTGAGTTTTTAGATAAGAGTCAGAGTTTCATACAAAACAAACTCTGAAAAAATTCATATAAACAGTCAATAAACGCAGTGACTGTATCGGACCATTGATTCTTAGAGCCTTGGCAAATGAAGAATACATTTTACAACGGTTGGTTGAAAAAGTTGTACAAATCTTTAACTACCTTATTATACGACCACAAACAAACAACAATGTAGGTCACTTCACTAAGCATGAGAAATTATATTCAACGAAGTAAAATTACGGCATGCAATTAGAAATTTGTCGCGTGTCACTCAACCGATCAGGAAATTGTCTATAGTTTTCCATATGTACTTCCTAGAAATCTGAAGAAATGCAAAATGAAACGGAGACCTATGAATAAAAGGAATACAACCCAGAAGCATGTCAACCGACGAAAACCATATTGTATCGGTGGATAAAACCACTGTATTTGAGTCCAATATAATTAGGTGGAGAGAGAAACCGATTACTGAATCTTTGCTAACATAACCTACACCCAACATATACAATAAGAATTATGCAACAACTACATCACAGATAAGCAAAATTTCAATACCACTAAAAACAATGAATATGAGGTGACAGGACTATAAAAACCAGATGGCCGCAGTAGTTTGACTACATTGATATAATTATGAGCAATAATTTATGCTCGAAACATCATCAAGTAAATAATACTACGTCACTCAGCGCTATGAATAAATAAAAAACAGAAATCCCAGGTGAACGCTAAGAAGCAAACATAACAAACAAAACAATGCGCACTCTGGTTGCTTCTCCTACAACAACTTTCGATCATACACTTGAAAGTGGACAGTTAAACCTTACCTGGAAACGTTGGTGAAGCGTATATACCACCTGGCCAGGTTGTTTGTACAAAATACTGCTTAGACCGATAATAAGTATTACTGTACATTATAACAGATGCTCCTTTTGGGGCGAACCAAACTGAATAGAGAGAAAACAGGAAAGAAACAATGTGGAAAAATGTGGTAAAAAAGGATTATTATGCGGTATCAGAACGAGTAACAATAATAATAATAATAATAATAATAATAATAATAATAATAATAATAATAATAATAATAATAATAATAATAATAATAATAGTCATTTTAACATTGAAAGAAATAATTATAATGGTGAATGCCTCTATATTCAGTGCCATGCAATAACACGAAGTTGATAACCTTAATTAAACAAAACTTGCGGTCGAAAAAAGTGAGTGGTAACCAAAACCACAGATATTGATCCGCAGGTTTTGCTGCTGGTCAAGCCAAAGTGACAGAACAACGCTGTTCAACTGTTTCACTCGTTCCACAACAACCTACCTCACCAATGAAGTAAGCAATAGGCCACATTCACTTCACAGAGGGACCAAACTCCCATGATCGACGGAATCTCGCTAGCTCACTTGGATGGGCCAGTATACCACACATTGGATAGTCGGTTTGCAGACAGTTTATGATCTGCTCGCTAAACACTGACATATCTCTCATCCAAACACTTTTTCAACTTCCTGATTATGATGTCAGCTCAGTTACTGTTGGTGACCATTTAGGCAATAATGTACAGTGATCTCCGTTTATCCAACCGATCTTTACTCCAATTACGAGAAAATTTTGTGAACTGTGGAAATCCCATATAGGATATCGAAGTCACATGAACACTAGAGTACACCTTCATTCCTTCTAATGCCAACCGATATCTGCGACCCTAATGTGCCTATGAATCACAATGACCCAATGAGCTATATTGGCTAGGACGCGGGGTCAATCAAGGTTCAACTCTACAAATCAATGGTATGCCCATACCGGAGAGTCGATGAGAGCTAACCATTGGATCTGTGGATACGCACCAGGTGAATTTTGAAGATTCACTACAATGCTGAGGTGAGGTCAACCTAATAACCACACTCGAGTCTTGTATACGTGTCTCAGCAAACATCCACGGTCAGAGATTCCAGAGTTTTGGCTAGCGATGCTTGCTGTCCGACTTGGCATAGGGTCCCAACGTTGGTAGTTCGAATATGAAATCGATGGTTGAGGTGTAGTGAGACTAAGAATGGGGTTTCGATGGCCACGGCCACTGCTTTGGTCGTCAACAGTAGTTACAGGGTGAGAAGTTGAGGCAGGCGCAGGAGACCTAATATTAGTATCGGGAGGTGATGGGGAAAAAAGGAGGCAGAGTCGAGGAAGGCTATTTCTTTCAAGAGTACCTGGAACGGAAAAAGATTTATGTGACTGTATAGGGCACAGGACATTTGCTTGAGGCCTGTCTCCCACGGCCTTTTGTTGGTTGTGGTATTGGAGTTTGCTGGTTTTTACACCGTATCGAAAGGAATCCCATGCGGCCGGCAGGATGAATTCCATGGTCGTGGTGGAGTGTGTTAGTTTTAGGGATGATCTTTTCTAGCCCTTTTCCGTTAAGAAAGCAGCATCAGTGCGGTACCGCTGTTTATCCAAGGGAAACACCTTAATGCTGTCACATCCCAGCCAACCAACAGTACGGCTTTGTCCTCGAATCTCTATTGTAGTGTAGTCATTCACATAACAACGTTAACTGCTTTTCGCCTTACATTATCCAACAACCCTTTCCGGCAGGGTAGGACCTCGAAGGTCAAGTATTCCAGTGAGTGTATTTTGTTGAGGCATTGTGATATACTAGCCCAAGTATGACATCAAGGCAGTAGGTACATGTGAAGAATGTACGTATCACTTACTTCATTGTTTAGTGTCCATTCTTTTATGCTATTGATATTGATTTTTCACGTCTATTTTCGTCTGTTGTACATCTATTTATAGTTTCTGCTAATTTTTTCCTCGTGGCATACAAACGTGTTCTTTTTCATTTGCAGGCACAAAAGGCGATGCAAATATGAATATTGATTTTATTCTTTTCACATATTTCCTTTGAATTCGAAGCATTCATCACACGTTGATATCAATGAGACGACTACTGAAAGTTAAGGAGCAGTTTCATCCCAATTCAGGAAGCCTTCGCAGTGAGCACCGAGGACTCCACCCGGAGTGTAAATAAAAACCGCCAGGTTTAGCGATGTGCATGTTAGTATTTAGCAACTAGGTTATTTACCATGATTTCGATGTTCCCCTGAAATAAGCTACTTGTTATTTCTAATACAATTCCTATTTTGAAACAAAATTCAATTTCACTATAATTTCATTACTATGAGAGTTAGACTTCAACAAAGTAGCAGAAAATAATTCCAAATCAGGTTTATTTATTTAATATAGTGCAAAGTAGTGACATTTCAAGGACAAATTATAGTTAGCAATTGTATCAAAGTGACAACACAACTTCCGTTATCTAGTTTTTATAAAAAATTTAGCGGAATACTTGTTGCGTCATTCCTTTTACATGCAGTAGGTGTTGATATGATGAACACTAGTTTATCATACTGTATTATTATTACTCAACCAAATAAATTTAGTATGGGATGATCAGGACTTCATTTTTATTTCGCATTAACGGTTATGTAACCATGGGTTAGTCATCTTATTTTCCTATTTCTACTTTATATTGGTAATAGCTTTATTACTCAACACTGCTTCCCCTGTGAACTGACAGATGCTAACTTTATTCTGGATTGGGTGTAATCTACATATTTGTGTACAGTGCTGCAGGAGGTCTTGATATTAAAAGATTGAACCCGATAACAGTGCGACGGAAATACGTATTAGCGCAATCTACTTGGGATTTCAACTTTATCATCCGACTTCAAGACAAGAAATTTAACTGTAGCTGAATACTCGCTTTGAAACTTAGACATGAAGCTGTGTGGGGTAATAGCTTGGCACTGATGGAGCTATGGCCGATTGGTCTAAGCATTCGAATTTCAGACACTTGATAATAAATTCAGATTCAATTTCAAGTACCACGGTTTGGGCACACAAGGCAGCATTTAACACAATAGGTTAATAGATTAAAGCATGAGCTTGTAAGGGGTTGCTGAGTTGGATAGTAGGCGCTAAGCCGATATTGGTTAACTCAGAGAAAACACATTTCTGTTAACAAAAAACACCAACCTTATGGGTATCACAGGATATACTTGTTACACCAGATAGTTGAAAGTCGAATTCTTCGATTGGATAATTAATCATATTCATAAACGGCAACAGGAAACCGCCCAAACAGCAATCAACATGTACGGGTATATTATATTTCCGACCAAGCTGTTTGAGAAGAGTAAACAGAATCATTTATTCAAGCTACCAGTCAGTAAGGAGGACAACATTTGAATGAGGAAAGAAATAAAGTCAAAGTAAAATAATGACCATTAAGAGAACTCTTTAAAAAGGATCATTACAGGAGCATGTATAAAAATGTTTTGATATTTTCTAATTTCTAACATATACTATTTTTACTTTACTGAGATGATAGGTGTTTGTTGACACTTGACATGGTATGTTTTGCGATGTACTTTCACTTAAAAACACCCCGCATCAGTAAAGCAAGGTGACAGATATAGAAATAGAAAAAACATAACCCAAAACCGTAAAGGGTCATTAGAATAAGGTGACATTAGCGAAATGCTGTATATACATTAAGATGAAGATTATGTGCGGTGCATTTCCACAAATGGGTATGGTTCAAATTCTTGCCATTTTTGGGAAAGATATCGGCAGTCTCTTCAGCAAGGTTTGAGTCGATCAAACTCACATCAAAGGATATCATTCTGTCGTCACCGTTTCAGTTCAAGTTCCTTATTTTTTGTGAGAATCAGTTACTAAGGCAGCTGGAAATTCCGTTCCCATCTATCTTCACCAGTAGAACGCAGGACAGGACTTTTGCAACTTTTACGCACAAGAAAACAACACGCATATATCGAATTTCGAACTACAACAGCTACCATACTAAATTCTATAAGAAGCCTTGTGTAGAAACACTATTTTCAGTAGCCAAGACGCGTTGCAGCATTGAACCACCACGAAAAGTGGAAGAAAAATACTCGTACAAAGTGTACAAATCCAATGTTTGTTCAGCACTCAACTTCATTAAGATTTGTTAACCTGAGGAGCGCAGAACAGTGCAGTTACCTCAAAACAATAAGCCTATTACTCCTACCTACATTAAAGACATCTCAAGGATTGTCAACCGACTATTCTCTCCTTGTGGGATTGAAGCGGCACACAAACCGATGAGATCACTGCAAACATGTTGTACGAACCAGAGGATCCGTTCGCAATATCGAGGTGGTCGGTCTAGCTATCAGGATGCTCAAAGAATTCACCAACACCAGCTAGCAATGCAGTGACACAATGCATCGTCTTTGCTCCCCATGCATGTAGACAGTCACAACTACAAATCAGACTGGAAGAATGTGAAAATCCTACACCTGGCAGGTTCAAAAGCTGCCAGAGAAATTCTCTTGGCCCTTTATATGAAATGAAACTCAATCAACAACGCAGATCTACACACAGCCTACATTGAACTTGGGAGGAGTACAGTTATTTGTCAACCGAATGACAACTGACTGGTTGAGCAAATGAGTCATCATGACGAACATTATTAGCGAATAGCATCATTTCGCTTTATCAAGGGTTCCCTTCTGGTACGACTTAATAAAATTTGGAGTCAGAGCGTGATAGAAATTCCTTGCCCAACTTGCATATGAACAATATTCAAGGCCAGTGAAATAATGGCTAAACATGGTCGTGTGGGCTATTAACAGGACTCACTACGTAATACAGTTAGTCAGCCACCATATCTGATGATGAAATGTTCGGGCTGAGTATCAAAGCTAAGAAAAATGCTAAATCCTCGTCATCCTGAATCCGAGCTACCAATCCTTTGTCACCTTTCACAGGAATTCATTGTCGAAGTATGGTTCACTCATTGAGATAATCGCCTAAGAACTGGTAAGTTCGCTTTTTGAATCCCACACCTTAGGTGTTTCAGCCTTGACACTAGAGCGGTTACTGGTTGCTGAGGCACATGAATTTTTGCTTCAGACAGTGGTTCTTACCGAGAAAAGTAAGACATTTTCACTTCAGACTTTATTTTGCATGAAGTCTCCACTTCATCCAACTTCTGTGCTTCTTTTTTTACAATAGGAGAAACAGTGGAACAGCAAAAAATAAACGTAGTGCTTTGCACATAGGAGCATCGATCCAAGTTCTTACACTTCATTGTAATACAAAGAGATTGAGTGCATAGAGAAAAAGTCATATCAAAGAAGACAAAAGCGTGTGGCAGAATAAAATACTTAGGATAAAGGTCAGAACAAATATTAAAGCTTTAGAAGATATCAAAGAGAGAATACATCAATGCCATTGTAACCGACTATCAGCCATTTTACTTAGAGATCTCAACCACTGATTCTTTTCGTCTCGTGGGCCCCAACCAGGTAAGTCTACATATTTCCACACGGCTCAGGCCAACAGTTAGAGGCTTCATGCAATGGTGCAACTAATCCACCTTCCCGCAGTATGGTACATCGATGAAGGTAGTGGTTCGGGATACGCAGCACATTTCCAAACCACCTCAGTCAATAAGGTTGTGAATCTTCCTCGAATAACTTGTCTAAGACTCTTCATCTGATCTCGACAGTCCTCAAATGGTAATCCCATCATGCGTGAACCGGGCTATGAAGACACCTGTAGTCGAAAACGTGAAACTGCTTCATCTCTTATCCTATAAACGGTAATTTCTCATAGTCGCATAATAAGGCAAAATCAACTGGAGCAAAATATACTCCTCTTCTGATTGGTGTTGGGATATCTCAACAGTCGAGGCCAGATATAAAGGCAAGTTGGCGAATGCCAAACAAGTCTTCTGTATCCGAGCTGAGATTTCGTCAGCAACCATCACCTTCGAGTTGACGCAATTCCCAAGTATGTGAAGTGCTTGACGCATTCCATCACTTCACTCCCCATCCTTAAACTGAGTTTAGTTGTAGACCAGTCTTGGAACATCCATCGCCTCATATTTAGAAGGTGCGAAATGCGTACCAAACATGCTCAGATTTCTGCTCAACACGTTCAGAAGACCCTGCATTTTGTTAGCGACTTCATCTAGCAAAACAATGTCATCTGCGTATTCCAAGTCAGCCGAGTGCACTCCAGGGAGTATCCAAATCCCCATGAAGTGAGTCAGCTGAACTGTGATTCAAAGTGTTTAGCTCATCGTTCTGGCCATCTGCCCTGAAAGGTTGTCGGCGTACTATCTGTTTTAGTGATTGTTTCTCTAACAATCGTTCTCTTCTGGCCGGTATCCTCAATAAGCCGGAAAAAGTGCCGGGTGTTACGGAATACTGACGCCTTCTCCATTTTGACAGACGATGTATGTTGTCGGTTCGTTGGGATGAGATTCCTTCGATACCTCCAACCTGCTTTCCCAATCTAATCCAATCCAGTCGGCTCGGCTCGCCTATCCTCTTTGAGTGCTAAAGTCATCTGCTATTATGACTGTCTGAACGTTTTGTTATATGCAGCAAAATTGAAAGCTTCTCATAGAAGTCATCCTTTGGATCGTCCGAACTGCAGTCAGTGGGTGCGTTGACGGAAACTTTGAGTAAGCATCAGGGGTTCTCACAATACTTCTTAGTTCCTACGGATCCATTCAATCGAACAGCACACAGACGACTGTTGACTGGTATCCAATCGAGATATGCACCTTATGCTCTACAACTCAATACTATGCTATGAAAGAAAACGGAATGAAAGTGCATGAAACGATAGCTACGGGAACACTGAAACGGGAGCAAAAAGTGTTGAGGTAATTTGCGAAATCATGACACGCCGACTGAGAGGAAGAGAAGGCGATGGCGCATTTGATAAAAATCACCATTCTTCTTCTCTGAGCATCGAGTTTATTTTATGCTTTGAACGTGAATTAGGAAGTTAACATGTTCTTGCACTATAATAATCTTATTGAGAACTACTGTACTAACTTTAGACAGATGGAGTGAAATGCTGGTTCGCGGTAGGTATGTCTGTGATGTAGGATACGGCGTAGGGTGAAGATTTAGTTGATGCGTGCTCCCCCAAGTGATAAGCTGCCTACTTTCTTCAGGTTCGCTGTTTCTGAGCTTCGTTTAAGACGTTTTATGACTATAGAACTTTGAATGTCATTCAGTATGCTTGTCAGAGTGAAACTGCAGCTCATTGTTTTAGGCCGTTCACTTTAAATCAATGGGATCACGGGTTCGAAGACAGCTCCACCTACATAGTTTAGACAGCCCGGTAGTATTGCTAGCCTTCACAGGAAACGTTTTTGTATTCGTGTCGTGCATGAATAAGAACAAGGTTGCTGAGTTTTCGACTGATTCTCCTGTGGTCATCACAATAGGATTTTTCACTTTATTTATGGTCAGGGAAAATCATTGATTGATACCAAACAGACAGGACCATACCTGATTTTTAAACTCTAGGCAGTACTTCAGCTTTTCAAACCAATTGTCTTTGACCACCAATCTTACATACCTCTCGTGCCAGCTCATCACGGCCTATTACACTTCTTCGTTTCAGGTTACTTACGCCCCTCTAAACCTAGACAAGTGCTTGAGCCCCTTTTTAACTTTCTATGAAGGATTTGACTAGATAGTAGGCAAGTGAAAACTAGCTGGAGGACAGGTAAACTGTTGGTCGCTTTCCTAAATCGTTTCAGTCATCTCCGCTGAAAGAAAACCGCATACCCATCCCATATCCACTATAGTCTAACGATTCATTGACTTTTTCCCTCAGTTTCCCTTGGTAAATCTAAATGACTGTTTCTGTTACCTGCAGATGCAAGGTGCGTCCAGTTGACGGATCCGAAACAGAAAGAAACGAACATTTTTGATTCCAATGTCAACTAACGGCAAGTTTCGATAACTTGACAATACATAAGAGTAAAGCTTGAGCACTGTGGCATTTGGCATCATTTTTAAAACAGTTAATAGTCTCACAGTAAAGGCTAACTTTGCCATCCAGTATAGACACTTTTAAGTACTGCGTATAGACATTATTACTTTTAAGAAAGCTGTTTATGCCCATAAGTTTCCTCAACTGCTAAGGCTGTCACCATCAGAGGATATTTGTCGTGTTGTGATGTGCAGCACAACACTCTTGAGAATTGATTCCACTTTTTACGCGGAACATAAATGATCTATATAAGTAGAAAAATCATTTAAAATGAACAACCTAGACTCAATTCTGAAGTATCTTGTTAATAATTAGGAAACAAATAGCAAGCAGCTTGACGCTTTCTGAAACTAATTTCTTGTCAGGTCGGTAACATAAACGTGGCTAGTTAAAATCATCGCCCAACCTTTTATTTTAAACATATTTGTTCACTGCTGCGTGAATGAAGATCCGCCAGCAAAAAAACAACTTCACAAAGTTTAATCAATATTTTTTGCGGCAAATCGTTTTCCAGCATAAATAATGTAAAGAGGTGAACAATTATAATCATACCACTCACAAGCAGAACAACAAGCCAGCATCTTAATTATTCTCTAATTAAATATGCACTGAACAGATAACACCATTTAGTGTATTGTATGAATTTATTTTTAAACGCCAAAGTCAGTGTAATCAATCATATTTTAGGAATTCAACAATCCTTTGGTATAATTCTTCAACTCTACAAATTTCATTACATTATATATTACCAATACTTATTAGCAAACATCAGGAAAGTATGACCTATAGAGCCTTTTGTAATTAGAGTGGGGCAAAACCGACTAACTGACTAAAATGTCAGAGAGGAAAGGATGAAATGTGAATCCTGAATTCTGGTGCTAGCTATTATAAAACAAATATTTAAAATGAATGATGCGCTTGAGAATTATCTACCAATTGTATCTTCCACTTTGCAACTTCTTACAAATAAGCAGTTTTCCAAATTTTCACCTCCGAGGTCAGCTGGGTTTTCTTCAGATATCGCTTATCCATGATTACAGCTTAACTTTGACGCGAAGTATCAAGAAGTAACTACAAGTAAATCTACCGATTAACTAGGAACCACTCACTCTACCCAATGCAAAAGCACTAAAGCCCTATGCTCTGTAGGATTGTTCATATCCGGTGGTAACAACACATTAGTAATTCTTAGGTACCACAACGTACATTTGGGCGTGATAGAGTTCGTCATTCAGTAAGTGAAGTCATCTGAAAACACCAGCTTCAGTGGCTTGGATGTGTTACGCATATCATCTTAACGACTTCTATATCCTTTATTGTTTGCTAGCCATGGAACTGGATGGAAGAAGCAAAGGGGTGGTCAGTGTATAACGTGGAGCTGTGGGATGAAAGATGTTTGTGTCGCGTTGGCATTTATTGGTGTATCATGACTTCCTAGGTGGAGTCCGACAGATTACACAACCCAGTGGCTTGAGACGTTATCAGACATGGCTGAGAATTAAAACCAGCGACGGTCATGCTGTAGCTTCCTTCTATCTTTTGCTGCTAAAAAGTAATGCACGTTTTGTTTTGGATGTATCTTATTGGACTGCCCTTCTAATCATTCTATCTTTATTGTGTTTTTGTTCTTCACCTATCCACTTTTCTTCGATTTATGTCTTCGAAATAGTGTGGCGCATTTCTTGGTGCCCTCGCTGTACCATGTTTGTGCTCCATTATTAATAATAATGCTATGAAGCAGATTGATTTGCTAAAATCTTATTCTACTGAAATGTAGATAAATGTTAGAGATTCCATGCTGTGGAAAAGCTCCTGGAAGATTAAAACAAAAATCTTTGATACTGGAAGATGACTGAAGGTGAAATGAAAATTTGGACCACGGCCGGCGGTCACCGTGTTTCTGGCCCAGTACTCTACCAACTAGGCTACGAGGTCCGACTGCCGACCAAATTTTTATTTCACTTCAATCACCAAGGGTTTTTCCGACTACCATGCGAATTCGTGACGCATCACTATCTCTTGATCGTACTCACACTGAGTTATGTGACGAAAGTTGTCAATACACGAAAAGAGAAGCGCATCAAGTAGATGAAAAGTCATGAAAATCCAACACCAAAAATGAAATTCCCGAGGCTATTAGCCAGTCGGGACTATATTGTCGTGACATGAATGATGCCTTTCTAGTTCTCAAAAATGAATTTGATAGGAATATTGTTCTCAGTAAGTTTAAGTGTCCATCCGGCAATCAAGTTCACAACAGTATTCCGTTTCTTAATGTTTTGCTGCTAGAAAGGTTAGATGGAACTCTGAAACGAAGTTGTATAAAAAGCCAACGTAGACAGGTCAGTAGATAAGCTTCCTTAGTGCCGTACCCCTCTTACACAAGAGTGATGTGGTAAAATGTCTAGCATACCGTGCAACAGCTATTTACTCTGATGTTGCTATAGAGAAAGAGTTCGCCACCATCCGTGACCTGCTTAATAGTAATGGCTATCCAGCAAAGTTTATAACTTCCATAATCGCGCAATTCTAGGTGCAAGAAATAAAGACACACTGTCTGATTCTGTCACCTCCATGTGCATTTATCAGCTCAAATCCTTGTGTGGAGCCAGTTAAATGGCCGTACAATGAGGCAGGTCCATCGTTGAATTTCTGAGCACCATCCTTTACGGTTGTATAACGAACTGATAAGAACAATAAAGAACTCCCTAGTTTTACGCTTAGTTGAAACCGGACATCAAGGAGATACTAGAAAAGCATTTAAAATTATTCATCGCGTGCCAATTAATTTACCAAATGGACTACATATCTGTTTACTTCACATAGCGGAGGCAGTTGCAATCCTCTTTTACTAATCTAACCTTTGTATTCAAAATAAATCTAATTAACCACTTCCATTGAACAGACAATCAACATGATGCGACTTTTAATATTACCGTGTACACCTCTTCTCCCCCTTTTCTCTGGTCAATATTCATTTGTTTTCTTATTCTTACGTAATTGTTTATTCTTTATGACCCATCACTCGAGAAAAAACCCTCCATTTACCTTATCAGTTAACATGCCATTTGCCAAAGAATAACCTGTTTCGCATTTTTATAATTGCCATTTTAAATCCTGTGTAATTACTCTATTGATTAGTTGCATCTCAATTTCTTCATGACTTAAAATCCGTAATTATTTTTTTTATCAACTCCCCCCCACACCACTACTTGATTGGTATTTGATTGAGTTGGAAACATGTACATTAGTGTAGAGCCAAAGACGAAGACCTAATTGAAAAGGAATATATTTCTTTGCTCAAAAATCAAAAAAGAAACTCATTGTACTTTCAACGCAGCTGCACAAAGACACTCATAAGCCAACGAAGATTTGTTGATTAAATTCAAAATGTGAACAGTAGGATGACACAAAGGTCAAGTAACAAAACCGCAGCTATTTCAAAAGAGACTGACTGACAAAATCAACGTAGTGCCTCGCACGCAGGTGCATCGGCTCAAGTTGCTACACTTCAAAAAAGATGGTCCTACTGACTCAGTAGCCTGCAACAAAACGTTTTGGCTTTTAAAATAATGGATACTAACTTCGAATCCCAGTATAAATATCATCACCCACTGGAATTCAGGTAACTTTATATGACAAGTCGCAAATTGGAAGAAAAATATATCACGGATTTCAGTACTAGTGAAGACTAAACAAATGACATGAAGATAGGTGTCTAGATATATGGAGAGCTCACTGAAGCTAAAAAATGAGAAATATCCAATTACAATCTGGTGACTGAAGTACGATGTAAAGATACTCTATAAAGGTGAACGGCCAACCGACAAGAATAAGATTGAATCTGAAGCGTGAACATAAATAATAAAATGCTGGACTGTTAGAACTTAGTGAAAAGTAAATGCATCCACAACGCCCCTAGTATCGACTTATAAGCAAATCACTGAAAATTTCCAACCATCGACAATCACGTCAATCAGCCTCAAATTATGCTGATACACCTGACTTGGACTCTTCGTTTTACGACCTATTAAATTAAAATCACTTCTCACTGTAAACTATGCTTTAAAAACCCTAAGTCTACTGATCTCGGCATGCTTTCTAGGCACTCATGTCTAAAGAAGAATTAACGATCGAATTTGACAGATGGATTCTTTAAATAGTGAGCTCTAATGAAGGTGTACTTTTGTTTTAGTTTCAAACAAGTGCAGATAAAAAGTCACAACATATAGACAATAAAAATAGCTGAATCAACATTCATAAAAAGCATTAAATGCATAAATTACCTCAGCGATCTCTTTGATAGGATCAATAATTCCATGAGGAAATCCAGGTGCCGAACCAACAAGCTAAAAAAAAGTTGAAGTAGAACCTTAACGAAATTTATCTCTTTTTGCCTCTTATTCGAAAACATTCAGAATTTAGATAGTGTGTCATGAAGTTCAGTAAAACGATACACATCGAATATATGACGTATTCAGTTGATAGATTTCCGACTAGTGCTTAGGATGAAAACGGCACGATACTGTGTTACAATTACGTTTTGGGATAAGTTAACCTAAAGAAATGGTTGTTTGTCAAAATTCTATCAATACGAAGATGGATAGACAGATGAACAGGTAGACGTACCATGCACGTATCACGGGTGATTGATGATTTCATTTCGACCATATTCACTTTGTATGTGATGGGATCCAGTGGCACATGGATAACATCAATTGAGAAGCAATGTGCAGCCTGGAAGAATAATTTATTGTAGAGAAAGTCAAAAGATGAATTAAAACACTGGGAAGTTTCTGCATTTGCATAATTCAACATACGCTCCCTTGATTCGAAAACTGATAGATAAAAGCCATACAACAACCAGAGAACAATCAAGAAGGATAACAAAACTACTAAATATGAATAAACTGAACTCATGAAATAATCTAAATGTGAAAGATACCACATTCATTGGTTACCACGACAATCTGTTTCCACATGGTAGTGAAGATTTATGCAGCTGAGGGAAGTGATATAAAAATATTGCAAAGGCCATATGAGAAAGAGAAATCACTGGAATAACTTGCACTGGTTGGGCTTCTGGTGTAATGACGTTGAATGAGCAATTACACACCAACATTAATAAGACAAGCAGACTAACCCTCCATTACTAAAGTGAAATTATGACTTCGTCAACATCTGCATCTCGTAAATAAGTAGGAAGACTGTCAGACCGCAATTTGGAGGCTGTTGGATTCCATTTAACCATCAAACATCATTCCGAAGCACAAATATTCCATTTGTTGAAGGCGATAAAATCTACGTGATTAATTTATTCATTTCAAAGAATATATACATTAAGTTCGCTTGAATATCCATTACTAAATACAACTTAATAACCTCGCCTAGTTTACTAGCCGGTTCAAAGACGGGATAAAGAGGGAAGGCTGCGCATCCAGCTAGCCACCCTACACCATAAAACCAATCCAATCGCTAAAGAAACTTCAAACCACAAAGAAAATGCAAAACACAAACTTATTCTTCACTGGAATCGAGGAGACGAAATGACACCGGTAGGTGAAAGTCTTCGGGAAGCCAATTAGCCGATGTATCTTCTCTTCTCTCGATGAAAGCAAAAGTAAGCATACGGACATGGAATGTCCGCACCACGTTTGATGCTGGCTGGAAAGGATACCCAGATTCCAAAAGAGATGAGAAAACATAGTATAGAAGTGCTAGGCTGGGAATCTGCGAAAGCAGATTGATTGGAAGTGGACTCTCCAAACCGTCAACCGCAGAGTCAATAATCTACTCACATATTGTCACCCAGACAACAACCACAAGGACACTGAGTTTTCGAATGGCTATCATGATGTCCCCTTGAAGAGCATCTCTCATGCAGTAGGAACCAATCTTCTCGTGCAGGATCAGCAACATGACAGCAAGATGGATTCAACTCAAAAGGAAGGAAAGTCACAATCATACAGTGCTACGCTACGCTACGCACCTACAAATAATGCAGATGAAGAGAAGAAGGAGGACTTCCACAGACAACTGCAATCAGTACTAGACAAGACTCCACCTCAGATGGTGACATCAAAATTCTAATGGGTGGGGGGCATCAACACCAACCTGAGAGCAGACAACACAGGAAGAGAACCAATCATGGGTCGAGAGGCACTCAGTGAAATGAACGAGAATGGAGAACTATTTGCAGATTTCTGTGCATTCAACGATTTGGTGATTGGAGGCGAGGCAGTGTGTACAAACATAAAGATATTCACAAAGCGACATGGATTTCACCAGATGGATGCACTAAAATTCAGATCGACTTCATTTCAATCTCAAGAAAGTGGAGATGGAGACGCAGCCTACTGGACACAAGATCAGATCAAGAAGAGAAGCAGATGTAGGTTCACACCACTCACTATCTGGTGCAAGTAACCTTTCAAAATCAAGTTGAAAGCCTTCTCAGAAGCTGGTGATAGACCACAGTTCAAGTTCAACACCCAGAACAGAAACTGAAGTACGAAACTACAAGGGACATCTTCACGTCGGTCATCAGGAAGAGATGAGAGACATTAAGCAACATCCCTGGAGAAACCTGCGTGGAAGGACACCGGAACTATTTGAAAGAGATGTGGAAGGGAACCTGCATAGCCGTGTAACGAAGGAAGAAGAAGAAGCAAGGCAAGGAATGGATCTCTACTGGCACGAGTGCAGTGCAGGGATGAATAGCGAAAAGAGGAACTGACTACAACCCATAAAACACTGAACAAAGAAGTGGAGAAGAGTGTGCGGAAAGACAAAAGACTCTTCTACGACGCATTGGCAAGTGAGGCAGAAAAGACAGAGACCTGACAACATTATTTCAAATAACCAGGTTACTATATGGGAAGAGACCAAAACAGACGAAACCAATGAAAGATGGTGAAGGAAACTTAGTTACCACCGAAGAGGAGAAACAAAGAAAACGGTGGGCTGACCACTTCAAAAAGCTCTTGAATTGACCACCACCACCACCTCCTGCAACTCATCTGGAAATACCACCGGGAGCCTAGACACAGAACTACCAGTGAACACAGGCCCTCCGACAGAAGCAGAAGTGAAGTCCTGAACACCATAAAGCTACTGAAATCCGGAAAAGCAGCAGGATCAGATCGAATTCCTCCAGAAACACTGAAAACAGACGCAGAGACATAAGAAGCGGACACGCTCACACCACCACTGCAAAAGGTTTGGAAAGAAGGAAGGGGAGGTACCTGCAGATTGGAAGAAGGGTTACCTTGTCAAACTCTCACACAAAAGTGACCTAAGTCTTCGCAAGAACTGGAGCGGAATCATGCTGCTGTCCACTCCAAGCAGAATATTAAGACACATCATCCTGGACAAACTAAAAAACGCTCTGCATTCGAAATTACGATCGGAACAGGCTGGATTCAGGAAGAACAAATCGTGTGAGGATCGAATTGAAATGCTACGCTACGCATCATCATAGGACAGAGCATAGAATGCCAGCCAACTCTCTACCTCAACTTCACCGACTTTGAAAAGGGCTTCGACAACGTCGACTGAGAAGTAGTTTGGCAACTGCTTCGATACTACGGTCTTAGTGCCACAAACCTTTATCAACCTCATTCGACAGCTATGTGCTATACAATGCTACATGCCAAGGGATTCACATGGAAAGCTCAGTGACGCCCTTGAAGTGAAGACGGGAGTAAGACAAGGTTGCCGCCTACTATCACCGATGATCCTCCTGATTGTGGTCGACTGGATTGGATCATGCAACAAACTGAGAGGAGCAAGCAGATGGGAATACGCTGGCTGGAACGATGAAAAGACCCTAGAAGAAGACTTGGATTTCGCTGATGATGACTTATGTCTAATATCGCACAAACTCGAAGACCTACAGGCGAATACCAACAAGTTGGCAGAAGAGACGAGGCAGCGAAGCCAGGAATGCCTTCAGGTGAACGTGGAGAGGACAGGGGGGGATGGAGATACCCAACCACCATCACCACCAACAACAACAACAAGCACCAATCACCATCAACGGGAGACAGCTGAAGGAAGTTGTCTCTTTCACCTACCTAGGCAAGGAAGCATCGTTTCAACTACGGGCGGCGGCAGCACAGATGAGGATGTCAAAGTCAAGATCGTAAAGACAGCAAGACAGGCCTTCCCGTATTAAACCGAAACCAGTGTGGAGATCTATTGCACTACACTCCACTTAGCACAAAGCATGAACAAGATCCGGATTTCCAACACCAACGTCAAGTCAGTGCTTCTATATGGTTCGGAAACTTGGCGCGTCACGAAAAGCACTTCCAACAAACTACAGGCATACATCACATCAACAGCTGCCGCCTACGCCCACTCGATACTGAAGATCAGATGGCCATAATAATGGGAATAAGCAACAAGGAACTCTGGCTGGCTGGCAACAAACCAACCAAGGACCCATCCATCACCCGACAAATTTGCAAAAGAAAGTGTAGATTGAGTGGACATACACTGAGCTGACCTTTTTGGGACATCAGGCCGTCGAGTGGAATACAAATGGGAAACGACGAGTTGGGTGTTCGAGGGTGACATGGAGGAGATCGTGTGAGAAAGAAACGAAAGCTTCTGGGCAGTCGTGGAGCCAGGTTGAAAAGACTACAGAGAACGGAGTGAAATGGTGACGTGCTACTGAAGCCCTATGTTCCACTAGGAACCCCAGGGACAAATAGAAAAAAGGTTATAACTTAATGTTAAGGTCATTCGATAAAGTTAGAGTGATAATAGTTCTTCAAATACAACTCATTGTTCAAGGGCGAAATGAGTAGTAATCCCTCGAGGTCCTACCATGCCAGAAAGGTTTGCTGCATAGTAGTAAGACGAATAGAGAGTGAATTGCTACGATATGAAGGGGATCCAAGGACAAAGTCGTACTTCTGGTTGGCTGGTGTGTGACAGTAATAAGGTGTTTCACTTGAATGACCAGCAGTGCCGCACTGGTGCTGCCTTCCCTATAGAGGGGCCAGGAAATGTCACCTCCGGAAACTGCACACTGCTCCCAGCCCCACCATTTTCCAATGCTGGTGGTATGGGTTTTATCTATCCCCTGTTAGAACAACCAAATTTCATAACAGCGATTCTCAAATGGTTGTGTGTGACAAGTGTCAAGCGAACGACCCATAGGCTCTACGGTCACACTAGTCTTTTTCTCTTCCAGGTACCCTTGGAAGAAATAGCCTTCCTCGACCCTGCCTCCTCCTTTCCCCATCACCTCCCGATACTAATATTAGGTCTCCTGCGCCTGCCTCAACTTCTCACCCTGTAACTACTGTTGACGACCAAAGCAGTGGCCGTGGCCATCGAAGCCTCATTCTTAGTCTCACTACACCTCAACCATCGATTTCATATTCGAACTACCAACGTTGGGACCCTATGCCAAGTCGGACAGCAAGCATCGCTAGCCAAAACTCTGGAATCTCTGACCGTGGATGTTTGCTGAGACACGTATACAAGACTCGAGTGTGGTTATTAGGTTGACCTCACCTCAGCATTGTAGTGAATCTTCAAAATTCACCTGGTGCGTATCCACAGATCCAATGGTTAGCTCTCATCGAATCTCCGGTATAAGCATAGTATTGAGTTGTAGAGCATAAGGTGCATATCTCGATTGGATACCAGTCAACAGTCGTCTGTGTGCTGTTCGATTGAATGGATCCGTAGGAACTAAGAAGTATTGTGAGAACCCCTGATGC